TCCACATTGTACTTACTGAAGGGCTTGAAAAATGCACTAAGACAATACATGAGTCAGAGAATTGGATAAGAAGAAACAAATACTGCCAATATTTATGACACTGTCTTTATAAAAAAATCTAGGAGGATGTATAAAGCCCAGTCATATTACTGAAGACAAGATCAACAAACAAAAACCATTAGTGTTCCTATATACCAATATTTAAAAAACTAAAAAAAGACATAGAAATCAGATATCATTCATAATAGCAAAAGAGATATACCATGTTATTAAATAGGAAGAATCAATATAAATGTATCACTTCTCTCCCAAATTAGTTCACAAATTTAATCCAATTCTTATTGAAATACAAGCAAGATATTTTGTGGAACTTGGACCCTGACATTGATCTGGGTATGTAAAGGATTGAGAATAACCACCATAGTTTTGAAGAAAAAGGATAAGGGAAGAGGACTATCTCTACCAGGTACCAAGATTTATTATAAAGTTATAATCATTAAAACATGTGCTTTGATGCAAACTTAGACAAATATATAAAAGGAATAGAACTGAAAGTCAGAAACAGCTCTACACATATGATTGAGGCAGCATTAGAAATAAGTGAAGAAAGAATTTACTATTGAATATATTGCAAACCAGCTAGGCATATGAGAAAAATTAAATTAGATCCCTTCCTTACAGCATATGCAAAATAATTTCCAAATGGATTAAGAACTAACTGTGAGAGACAAAGCATAATTTTTTTTAAAAAATTGTGCTGGATATATACCATTTACCACTTACATCATCTGTTAGTCTTTGCTGCATAGGAAACACTTTAAGATTCTGTAAGCCATTTGGGGTTGGCTCAGTTAGACAATTCTTCTGATATTGGTGGCTGGGCTCACTCATGCATTTGTGGTCAGCTGTCTGTCACCTAGATCACTCTGCTTCTGAGTGTTGGCTGGCTGAAGGCTGGAGTCAGTAGCCAACTGTCTCTCATCATCCAGGAAGCTATCCAGACTTCTTCACACAGCATAGATGGTAGGGGTCTCAAAAACTGTGAGAGGACAGTCAGTCTCCCAGTGTCTGAGTGCTTTTCAAAGTTCTGTCTGTATCTTGGTTGCTAATGCCCCATTGACCAAAATCAGTCACATGGCCAACGTGAGATTCAAGAGATGAGGAAATAGACTCTACTTCTTGGGACACGTACAGACATTGGAAAACTTGTGGCCATTTTTGTAATCTCCATTCTCTGATTCTGCTTTGTGCCCCAAAGGGCTAAACTGTAGGGACTTCATCAAGGGTCCCTCATACTCTCTGGCTTCCCTATTAGTTTAGCCAACAGGGAGCTGCAGCAGAAGCTAAGAATGGAGGAGAATGAGAATGAGGATTTATTCCCCTGGCTCTCTTTGCTATAGCATTGCTGCAGGCTGTGTTCATTCACCAGGTCCCAAGCTCCAGTCAGGTGTCCTTTGTCCACAGTGTACTGTCTGGGTTCTCTCTCACTTCCACTTCAGGCTTAGGAGTATCAGTGGGGCTTACTGTACTAGCTCTAGGATACAACACTCTCCTCTGTGATTTCCCTACACTCTACCCATACCTTTGTAAATAAACTGTTAAACTTTCCTCAAGTTTACAAATTCAGACTTTGAATTTGAGGGGATCATGTTCTCGTATGATACAGAAGTAAATATAGAAGACTTTTTCAAGTCACAAAAAGCAAAAACCATAAAATTAAAACACTACAAAACACATTGTGGAAATAGAAAATCATAAACCCAAATACTTGGACTCAGCCATGGTTAAAGTTAAAGCCAAAGGCCATACATTTTGAGAAACTTTGAGTGGAGATGATTTGGACACAGATAATTTTAATAATCTTTAGCACTAAGTTAAACAAAAGCCAAAAATATATTGATTAAATCACAGTCTGGCCTGGTGTGGTTAAGGCTCTACTGAAATTAGTTCTATGCATGATATAAAATAATTTATTTAATATGCCTCCTATAATGGACATTTATGTTATTTCTAATATGTTACTATTAAAAACTATGTTTTTTGCATCCACTTAAGAATTCATTCTCTATCCTTGGGGCACCTGGGTGGCTCAGTTGGTTAAGCATCTGACTCTTGGTTTCGGCTCAGATCATGATCTCAAGGTTCGTGGGTTCAGGCCCCACATTGGGCTCCATGCTGGCAGTGTGAAATCTGTTTAGGATTGTCTCTCTCTCTCTTCCCAACCCCCGCCCCTCCCCTATGTGCACTCTCTTTCTCAAAATAAATAAATAAACTTAAAAATATATTTTAAAAAAGAATTCATTCTCTATCCTAATGTCATGAAGACATCTTCCAATTTCATATACTTGAAATCTCACTGTTTTATTTTTCACATTTAAATCTATAATCCACCTAAAATTGATTTTTGTGGATGGCAAGATAGGAGTCAAATATCTTTTTCTTTCTATATGAATTCCCAGTTGACCCAGAATCAAAAGGCATACTTTCTATAGTGATCTTAGTGCCACCTTTGTCATAAATCGAATCCATATATAACATTGGTTCCTCCTTTTAATTTCAACCTTTTTATGATCCTATGCTTTAGAGTCATGGTTCATAAATAGCACTTAGGTTTTTTGTTTGTTCGTTTGTTTTTAATCTGACTTTGAATTGGTTATTTAGTCCATTCACATTTATTTTGATCATAATATGCTTGGACTTGTTTCTACTTACTTTTAAATATTTTTCTGTCCAATTTCTTTTTCTCTCCTTTAGTACTTTTTAAAAATTCTGACTGAATATTGTTATTGTTCCTCTTTTCCTTTTCTCCTCTTTTTCTCCTGTGTTTCTCCTTAAAGTTTTTCTCTTTACAAGTCTGGTATTTATTCTCTCTACTTTCATTCTGTTGATAATAAGTCTTAAAAATTAATCAGGGTGCACGGGTGGCTCAGTCATTTAAGCATCCCAAACTCGGTTTTGGCTCATGTCATGATCTCTTGGTTCGTGGGTTCAAGCCCCGCATCAGCCTCTGCACTGGCAGCGCAGAGCCTGCTTGGGATTTTCTCTCTCCCTCTGCCCCTCCCCTGCTTGTACTCTTTCTCTGAAAATAAATAAATAAACTTAAAAAAATTATCAAATTTTATCAAGCATGCCTAACACAGTCTTAAAACTGAACAACTTATCTACCTCAGATAAAATAGACTTTAGAATGTTTTAGCTCAGGTCTTGTTTTTATTTTATTTTGAAATGATTTTAGATTTACAGAAAAATTGCAATAGTAAAGAGAATTCCTTTCTACCCTTCACCCAGCTTCTCCTAATAGTAACAGTTTTCATAATCATAGTACAATTATCAAAACAAGAATACTACTAACTAAACTACAGACTTTATTTGAAATTTATGTTTTTCATTAAGGTCTTTTTTCTGTATCATAATGTAACCCAGGATCCCATATTACATTTAATTGTCAAGTCCCCTTAGTCTCTGACAGTCTATGACAGTTCTGAGTCTTTTTTGTCTTTTATGTCCTCAATATTTTTGAAGATAACTGATCAGTTTTTTTGCAGAATGTCCCTCAATTTGGATTTGTGTGATTTTTTTTCCTGATTTGACTGAGCTTATGCATTTTTGGCAAGAAAAGAGAGCAGAAAAAAACAGCATTTAACATATTGCTGGCTTTTATAATATTTAAAACTTTTATAATGTTTAGAATTCTTGCCTTGAGTAAAGTTGGCCTGTAACTTTTCATACTGTCCGTACTACGTGTTGATGTCAATGTTAATGTGAGTGTCATAAAACAAGCTGGAAAATGTTCCCTCTTTTTCTATCCTCTTGGAGAGTCTGTGAAATGTTGACACCATACCAGTTTAATAGAAAGGATTTAATATATGGAGTTGTGCAGACAAATATTGGAGACCAGAAAAGTAAAGGGGGAACTTCAGTAACACAGAAGATGGTAAAGGATGAAGGGACCAGGGAAAGAGGTTGGGTTATTAAGAACTCCACACCCAGAGGACAGACCTACAGAGCTGGGATCCAGACCTCTGAGGGGGTCCTGCCAGCTGTGTGGGTACTTCAGAAATCACACAAAAGACTCGCAGTCAAGCTTCAGTTCTTAAAAAGTTGTTTTACTTCTAGTTATTCTTACAGAAAGCATCTCTTTATTAAGATATTTTACTTCCACCTATTAGAAAGTTATCATAATGTAATGAATTTGTTAGGAAAAGACACTTCAGTACCATATATAAACCTATAATGTCCACAATGCAAATGGCACTCTGTGCATGTCAGGGAGGTCTGGTGTTCCATCTTCCAAAAATTTGCTAAACTCTTTCATTCCTTCACATCTCTTTTCTCATTTTCTTTGACTTTTTTTTATTCCTTTCTATAATTTTTTAGAAAGAGAAACCTTTAAAAAATTTTTAAATGTTAATTCATCAAAAAATTTTAAAAATGTTTATTTTTGAGAAAGAACATGAGAGGGGGAGAGGCAGAGAGAGAGAGAGAGACAGAGAATCTGAAACAGGCTCTCCGCTGACAGCAGAGAGCCCTATGCAGGGCTTGAACCCCCCAACTGCGAGGTCATGACCTGAGCCAAAGTCGAAGCTTAACTGACTGAGCTAGACAGGTGCCCCAAATGTTTATTTTTGAGAGGGGGAGGGTGCGTGGGAGCTGGGGAGGGGCAGAGAGATTGGGGGTCAGAGGATTTGAAGGAGGCTCTGCGCTGACAGTGGAGAGCCTGACGCCGGGCTCCAACTCATAAACCGTGGGATCATGACCTGAGCCAAAGTTGGGTGCTCGACTGAACAACCCAGATGCCTTTCTTTTCTATAATTTTAATGTGATTTCAAAAGTATCATGTGATACATGTATGTAATCAATAAACTATTTTTTTAACTAGCAATCATATGTAAAATTAACTTATTAGGTATAAATGTATTATTTTATATCTATTAAATTATTCATTATGGAATACGAATTATTTTAAAATTAATTTGTAATTTTGATATCTTTATTATATCTCTTCTTTTAACATCCACATTTGTTTTGTAGGTTCAAAGGAGAAATTTAACATGAAAATTAAAATTGAGTTACAGTCTTGTTTTGGTATAAAACATACCAGCAAATAAGATGTCTGAAAAGGAGGGTACTTCAGAAGAGCTAGAAGATATCACTAGTCAACGTAGGAAAGAATCTGGATCATGGTCAGAAGAGCCTGAATTTATTAAAGAAACATCAAATTCATTAGAGGAAGTTTGTAATGGGAAACCTTCCAGTCAGATTTGTGAAACACATCTTAGAAATGATAAATTGGGTTTATATGATGATACATCATATATATATATATATTGTCACTCTATAAATTGGGTATATATGATGATATATCATATATATATGTCACTCTATAAATTGGGTATATATGATGATACATCATATATATATATATGTCACTCTATATGACACCTTTCAGTCAAAAAGTGCTATTTCACAGGGGCGCCTGGGTGGCGCAGTCGGTTAAGCGTCCGACTTCAGCCAGGTCACGATCTCGCGGTCCGTGAGTTCGAGCCCCGTGTCAGGCTCTGGGCTGATGGCTCGGAGCCTGGAGCCTGTTTCCGATTCTGTGTCTCCCTCTCTCTCTGCCCCTCCCCCGTTCATGCTCTGTCTCTCTCTGTCCCAAAAATAAATAAAAAACGTTGAAAAAAAAATTAAAAAAAAAAAGTGCTATTTCACAAAGTCCACCATTATCAATGATTGAGATGGTTGCTGAAAATCAGGCTTTCACTGGCTTATCTCATGAAACATTAGAAAAAAACAGTGCACAACTCTCTGAGGAAAATCAGAAAGGACTTGGCTTAGGATCAGATAACTTTACAGTTAACCTCAAGGCCAAGGGTTTACAAGAATTCCCTAAGGACATCTTAAAAACCAAATATGTAAAATATCTATATTTGGATGAGACCCAAATCAAAAGTTTTAAAGGGGCAGACTCAGGTGATCTGCTAGGACTTGAAATTCTATCCTTGCAAGGAAATGGGTTATCATCATTTCTATCTGAAATTCAGTTACTTCATAATTTAAAGATATTAAATGTCAGTCATAATCAAATATCACATATACCTAAAGAAATATCACAGGTTGGGAATATCAGGCAACTCTTTTTTAATAACAATTATATTGAGAATTTTCCTTCTGGGTTAGAAAGTCTTGGAAACTTAGAAATTTTAAGTTCGGCTAAAAATAACTTAAGACATATACCAGACATTCTGTCTAGTTTGAAAAACTTGACAGTTCTCGGGGCGCCTGGGTGGCGCAGTCGGTTGAGCGTCCGACTTCAGCCAGGTCACGATCTCGCGGTCCGTGGGTTCGAGCCCCGCGTCGGGCTCTGGGCTGATGGCTCGGAGCCTGGAGCCTGTTTCCGATTCTGTGTCTCCCTCTCTCTCTCTGCCCCTCCCCTGTTCACGCTCTGTCTCTCTCTGTCCCAAAAATAAATAAACGTTGAAAAAAATTTTTTTAAAAAAAGAAAAACTTGACGGTTCTCAATCTGGAATATAATCAGTTAACAATATTTCCTAAAGCTCTGTGCTTCCTTCCAAAGTTAATTTCACTAAGCCTTACTGGAAACCTGATAAGCAGTTTGCCAAAAGAAATTAGGGAGCTTAAACATTTAGAAAAACTTTTACTGGATCATAATCAACTTACTTTTTTGGCTGTGGAGATTTTTCAACTGCTCAAAATGAAAGAAATCCTACTAACTGATAATAAACTGGAAGTTATTTCACAGAAAATTGAGAATTTTAAGGAACTCAGAATTCTAATACTTGATAAAAATTAAAAGAAATACCTGAGAAAATTTCCCACTGTGTAATGTTGGAATGCCTTAGTCTTAGTAATAACAAATTAACAGAACTTCCTAAGAACATCCATAAGCTAAAAAATTTAAGAAAACTCCATGTAAACAGAAATAATATAGTGAGAATACCTGAAAATATCTCACATCTTAGTAGTATGTTCAGTCTAGAATTTTCAGGAAATGTAATCACAGATGTTCCCATTGAAGTAAAAAATTGTAGAAAAATAACTAAAGTTGAATTGAGTTATAACAGAATAATGTTTTTCCAGTAGGTTTGTGTGCCTTAGATTCTCTTTATTATTTGAATTTTAATGGAAATTATATTTCAGAAATACCTGTGGATATATCTTTCATTAAACAATTGCTTCATTTAGAGTTAAATAAAAATAAACTCCTCATATTTTCTGAGTATTTATGTTCTCTTATTAATCTTGAATATCTAGATTTGGTAAAAACCAAATAAGGAAAATTCCACCATTTATTTCCAATATGGTATCACTCTGTGTTCTGATTTTATGCTGTAATAAATTTGAAGCTTTTCCTATAGAAGTATGTACCTTAGAAAATTTGCAAGTATTTGATCTTTCAACAAACCAAATACAGAATATCCTTTCAGATATCTGTAACCTAAAAAGAATCCAGAAATTAAACATCTCAAGCAATCAATTTATGTATTTTCCTATTGAGCTGTGCCAACTTCAATCACTGGAAGAGCTGAATATAAATCAGATAAATGGAAGAAAGGCAAGAAACTTATATTTTTGGCCTTGGAAGGAAGTTGGCATTGGAGGGGATTAGAATCTAAACTGTAGTGTATGTGTGTATGTTTTAAAATTAGCTGGAATATTTTATTTGTTTTAAATAGGCTTTTTTCTTTTAAACCCCAAACATGCCTTAAAAATATATTTCTCAACATGAAAGATTCACAGAAAAATATTTCATTAAAATGAAATTCTAAGTAACTAAAGCTGTCAATTTTATAGATTTCTTTTTATTTCAGTTTAATTATAAAAAGGAGTTTTAAAGCCATGGATTATAATATAAACACATTACAGAAAATTTGGAAAAATTGAGAAAAGTAAAAAAAAAAAATCATTCCAGAAGGATACTATTGTAAATATAACTATGGGCCACTGGTCATATGTTGATACAACTTACTTTTAGTGTTTTTTTTTTATGTATGTGGTTTATGTAAGCAATTATAAAAAGTTTCTACACTCAATTTTAGTTTCTTCTATTTTCACTTAATGTAAGCATTTCCACATAATATAACAAATCTTCCCAGTAATTAATTGTTAGAGCCAATACATGATTTATGTAACTAATCATCTGTTATTAAGTATTTAGAGATATTATAATTTTTCATCATATATAAGGCTATGATGAACTTCATAAAAACAACCTTCTTCATATTTTATTTCCTTAGGGAACTTTTCCTAAAGAACTGCTAGATAAATGGGAATAAATGTTCTTATAGTTTAGCATTTTACTTGAACATAAGAATGAATTTTATGGAAATACTTTAAAAAAATCAAACAATGTTGATTTATATTAAGATCTTAGTACACTAATGAAAAGGACCCAGCTATTATCTGGCTAAGTTTAATTTGACCATCAGTCAAATTAAAGTGCTTTGATAGAGCTGGACTATTATCTAGAGCAAGATTTCCCAAAGTTTGTCCTTAAAAACACTAGTCCTGTGAACTGCTCCTTAAAAATAGGTGGGTGGGGTGGGGTAGGGGGGAGAGGGGTTCCTGTGATTACATAGCTTTGAGAAGTACTGGTTTCTTCTCTTAAAGAATCACAATGAACGTTAGTGTATTAAAAGCTCTGTAGAGTCCTGCACTAAAGTAATTGGTTTGTTTCTATTTAACTCACATTTCCCAAAGTTACTTACCCTTTTTAAACCCAACACCTGCTATATAATACATTTCCAGAAAGGCTACTCCAGGGAATAGTTGCTTAAGTAGCTGGAGTGAAAAATGATGCATGTGTTTCAAAAGTTGTTATTGCACTAACAGGCACTTTTTGGTTCTGCATTATAATCAACTAATTCCTTGTCTGATTTATAATCATCTCACTTTCTCCTCCTGTATTTTACTGTGCAGATCTACAAGGTTGTGTCCTTAATCTCCTCTTTTTTATTAACTTCATCCCAGACCTCACCACACCATGCACATGACCCTCAAATCTGCGTAACTGGAACTGATCTCCACTACTACTTTAGTCCCATAGTTCTCAGTTTCCCTGGAAATTCCCTGTTCTTCTATTGTCTCAAACTCAACATGACTTCAGAATCAAACTCCTTTCTTTCCAATGTAACTCTCTTCACAACTCCATTTCTGTCTGTAATGCTGCTTTCTTCAGACCTACTAAATCTAGAAATCATGAAATTAACTTTCTTCCCTTTCCATCACTAGTTATACTGAAACTTACACCAAAATCGTCTCATTTTTTTCCTCTGAAAAAGTTCTTGGATCAACTTCTTCATTTTCCAGTGTCACTGTCTCCAACTGGTCCATGGTTATCACTTACTTCATGTCTAGACTACTCCAGGAGCCTCCTGAGTATTCTCTTTGATTCAGTCTCCTATTTCATCAGGACTTGTCAAAGCTATCAGATTTCCTTACTGAGAAAATTACAGAGTACTATTCTCAGGAATCCAGACTGCATACCTATAGCCTACTTGTGGCGAGTGGTTGCCAAGGGCAACATTATTACAACATCACTTCAAAGGTCACCAGATGGGGTGCCTGGCTGGCTCAGTCAATAGAGCATATGACTCTTGATCTTGGGCTGTGAGTTCCAGTCCCACATTGGGCATAGAGCTTCCTTAAAAGAAAAAGAGAGAAAAAGAAAGAAAGAAAGAGTAGGCAACCATGTAAAATAAAGCTGGATACCTTTTAAAAAAGAAAAATCACCAGATGGAAAAATGATTTATAAGAACTCTTTTCAAAATATATATATAATTGGAAATATCACTTTGATAACCCACTTGAGGTGAAAGTGAAGTGCCTAAAGGATTGGCAGATGGTCACTAAACAGTCATTTAAAGAAGATAAGTTCAGGTTCATCAGAAGGCTTTTATTTGGCTAAGTGAAGGATACCCAACAGGAGTCTTCCTTTCATAGTGGCTCTACTAGCACACAGTTCTTAGGTACTTCATCTAATAAATGTTGAGCAAATAGCGAAAAAGAATATTTGCCTGAAGGAAAGTCAAATTATGAACCTACCCACCTGTCTTGACCTGACTCCTACCTCCTAGGGCCAACTCTTAAGGCCTGCCATGGCCCAGTTCCATCTTCTTTCTCCAAACATACCTTCCTCTGCTTCCTATCACCTGTCTTTGCTGTTCACCTTCTCTCTGGCCCATTTTTATGCATGGTATTTGTCTTGTCTTCAGTGTCCTATGACTTCTACTCAATCCTACTCATTCTTTTTTTTTTTTTAAATATGTATTTATTTATCCCACGTGGTGTGAGATTATGATGTGAGCTGAAACCAAAAGGTAGATGCTTAACCAACTGAGCCACCCAGGTACCCTGAATCCTATTCATTCTTAAGGGGACATTCAAGTCCTATCTGCTACGTGAAGATTTCCTTTAGTTCTTTGATTTGTACTGATATACATTCTCTAAACTTCCACATATCTGTTATTGTACCCTTTATTTTGGCACTGGATTACCTATCATTTAATACTCTTTTCTGATGGTTTCATATGTGTGTATTTTGTTTCCTGAACTAAATTCTAATCTCCTTTAAGTTAGGGACTGTCTTTTATGCTTCTTTTATATATGGAAGAACACTGAGCACAATATTCAGTATTTACCTTGTTTGGTTATTTCTCAATTCAAAATTCTTTTGTTCACTTGTAGAACTTCCTTTGTTTCAAAAGCCATTTGTGATGGCCATATTTTCTCTGAATACATGTATTTCTTCTTCACCATATCAGGGTATCTTAATTCCTGTTATTTTGCAATGCTTTTTTGAGGCTATACTGCCAACCTGTGTGAGTCCATTCTAAAGGGGTTTACTGAGCATTTACTCAAAATATATCATGATTGGGAATGTGTACACAAAAAGTATAAAATGTATATTATGTCATTTAAAAATCCTAGGAAAATACACCAAGGGACTTTAAAAAGCACTGCTGATGAGAACAGGAATAAAGAGATAAAATGTGGTACAGAAAAGTTGGTAAAGACTTTAGGGAGGGAAGAAAGTGATAGTAAGGAACATCAAGTTCTGGGAGAGTGAGGAAAGTGGGTTAATAAGCCATAGGGTTGAATGGGTAGAATTGGTCAGACCGGGGAGGCACTTGGATGCCACAAAATATATTGTGGATTTTAGCAAGGAGGGTGAAAATATCCCTCTTTAAGACCAAAAAACCAAACTTCCATTTTAGACAAGGTTTTAGTCATAGAAATATTTATTAAAAATATAATTGTTTAATCTTTGTTACAGTTAACGAGACTTCCAGAAGAGCTGTCTAATATGACTCAGCTTAAAAGACTTGATATCTCAAATAATGCAATCAGAGAGATTCCAAGAAATATAGGGGAATTGAGAAGTTTGGTTAGTTTAAATGCATACAACAATCAAATATGTTATCTGCCACCATCTTTTCTATGTTTACATGATCTCCAGCAACTAAATTTCAGTGGCGAGTGTCAAGCGTAATCAATAAGCATAATCAGTAAGTAGAGTATTCGTGTCTAGGTTGCAAATTTTGCTGACAAGACAGAACAGCAGTTAACATAATGCATTAAGTGCTCATTGGAAGGAAATGCACATCTGAGGTACAGAAAATAAGAGCACAGCATAAGGTCCTGTTGCTTTCCTGAAAGACGTTATAACCAAACTGAGCACCTTGAACATATTCTCATTTCTTTTCTGTCCTCTCTGTCTATACCCAGTCAGTCAGTACTTCTTCCCTTTCTGAACCTGACCTCATCTCTCCCTCTACACAAACTTACCTACACAACCTTAGGTCAGCATTTTCTGTATTTTCCTTTCTGGCTCCCCTAATCCTACCCTTGTACATTACAATACTCAGATACCTTATAGTCTTCTACAAAGTAAATCATTAAATAACAACAAAAAAGTAAATCACTCACTCTAAAGGTATCAGAAATGATTTTCCAAAGCACAATAAATACCAGATTGGTATTTTTCTTAATAATTTTTATTATGGTGGTGCTTGGGTAGCTCAGTGACTTAAGTGTCCAACTCTTGATTTTGGCTCATGTCATGATCTCATGGTTCATGGGATTTGAGCCCCATGTTGGGCTCCAGGCTGACAGCATGAAGCCTGCTTGGGATTCTCTCTCCCTCTCTCTCTGCCCTTCCCCACTCGTACTCTCTTTCTCAAAATAAATAAACTTAAAAAAATAATTTTTATTATGAAATACTTTCAGAAAATTTATTATGAAAAACTTACAGAAAATAATAAATACCTAGGTACCTACTCCCAGATATAAGGAATGTTAACATTTTTGTTGTATTTACTCGATATATTTTTTAATTGTTAAGAAATAAAATAATGGAGTTGAAATTTCTTTTGTCCTTCTACCCAAACTAGAAGTAACCACTATACTGAAATTGGTATGTATCTTTTTTCCTTCCATGTTTTTATACATATATATAACCATAAACAAGTAATACTATTTTGAGTTTTTAAATTTTACTAAATCTTATCATGCTATATGATAGTGATTTACTACTCTAAAATTTGCTTTTTTCATTTGTCATATTTCTAAAATTAATCCATATTAATATATACATAGACTTATTTCATTCACTTTAAATCCTATATGATATTCAATTATACGGTTAAATAACAACCCATTACCTGGTTGGTAGACAGTTAGGTTGTTTCCAATGTGTTTGCTACTATAAACATCCTGTACATGTTCCTTGTGTACCTCTGCTTGAGTTTCTTTAGTGCGTATAGCTATAAGTAGAATTGCTGCATCAGAAGGTATGCACATCTTCAACTTTACCAGATTTGGGCAAATTGATCTCCAGTGGTTGTACCAGCTAAGCACATGAACCACTGTATTTATGAAATTCTATCTTTCAGTTGGAAGTAGTGTTTACAACCGGAGCCCTGCATCTTCTTAGATTTAGAGGCTTTTCAGAATAAAACAACAAAGGTCATCTTTTTTGGTCAGTAGTCCTAGTAACACAGTAAAACGTACAGTAATGCATCAATACTTAGATATAACGGAACTGACATTTTTCTCCTGAACCTCCCAAACTCCCGGTAAACTGGCTGTGCGGGTACATATCAGTCATTTTACTAATTTTGCAACAACTTGAAGTGAGTTGTAAAAACTCAGTCTGGCAACTGAATTTTTTTGCTCAACCTTTGTGTTTTGGCCAAGTTTTTCTATATTTTAAGGTTACCTAGTTTGTCCAAGGGCAGGATACACTCCACTCAACTACTATTTGTACACAAAAAAATCAGAGGCTGACAAGAGCCCTCTGACCCACTAGAAAATACAACGACGCGTCAGAAGCATAATTCTCTGGAGGCTTTCTGGTACTGAATCAAGACAGAATGGGAAGATCAAAGACTTTTCTGCAAGTGTTGCGTGTTCTCTGCTGGTCCGCATGAGAATTAGAAAAATATATGTCAGGATCCAACCAGGAGACAGAAATCACAACTTAATAACTAAGTATATATACATGTTGTTAACTACAGAAGTGAAAGAGTGAAAGAGAATTCGAAGTTCATGGTAAAGTAGCAATGGCAGGAAGCAATAACTACCCTATGGGTAAGAGAATAAAGTAGAAAAGACAGAATTATGAACACTCAGAAGCTTGAAGGAAGGGGTCTCTCTCTTGCCGCCCCCCCCCCCCCCCCGCGAAAACTCCTGAATTGTGAGATCATGACCTGCCCCGCAGTCAGTACTGATTGGCGGCTGCAGTACTGATTGACGGGTAGCGGCACCTGCGGAGGTCATGATTTCACAGTGCAGGAGCGGCACCTGCGGAGATCATGATCTCACAGTGAGGGAGTTTTAGCTTGCTGCAGGAGTTTTAGCTTTCGGCCACTTCAGGTTGGGGGGGGGCGGGAAGGGGAGGGAGAGAGAGGGAGAGGGAGGGAGAGAGAGGAAGAAGAGAGTGTGCGGGTGCGTGGGAGAGACTGCGCGCGCGCTAGTGCTAGTTCTGTGAGGGTTGGGACAAGTACAAACTTCAGTTCGTGTTGCTGATGGAGTAAGAGTGTTGCCAGGGTGACAGTAAAAGAAAAACTGTCAAGAAATGCTAAGAAGTAGGTTTGGAGCTAAGTGACAGTCGCTAAGCAACTGGCATGCTACAAGTCACCAGCTTTTATTGCCAAGTTTGAACTTAGAAGGGGTGAGTTCGAGTCTTGTCATTTAATCTGTTTCCTCTATTTATAAAGTGAAGCTAACCGAATATCCATGCTATAGATTTGTTTACAGACTGAATGAGACTTTGAAAGCAGGTAGCATACTGTGAAAGCATTATTCAAGCAAAAGATGTTCATATATTCTTGTGAAATAATCATCTCTGTCACAAACTAGCAAATTTAGGAAGATAACCCTTATGAACCATCAACAAGATGGGAAAGCTTATAACTTCTGCTTGTTAACAGACTTGTGGGAATATAATTAGATAAAACTTATGAAAATAGTTTCACAAATGTGAGGTAATATACCAATGAAAGGGATTTATAGCATGGGCTCATAGCATGGGTTTTGGAGTGGAACAGACCTTAGAATTCTAGCTCCATCTTTCAACAGGAATTTTTTTTTAACGTTAACCTTCTGTTTCCTAATCTGTAAATGGAAATGGTATCTACTCTTTGATTTGTGAGGATTAAACAGTTAACTACTAAGCACAAAAACTGATGCAATATAGGTTTTAAACAGGTGTTGGAGCCTCTCTCCAAGAAGCCAAAATAACAAATGAAAGGAAGTAGATTGGCATGTAAACTGCCTGTGGTTGTCCTCATGGAGAAGGACAGTTATCTTGCCTTACAGTTCTCTCTACAGGCCTTGATAATTCTACCCTGCAGGTTTGCATCTTCTCCTACCTGTAAGACAGCTAGTTAAGCTAGTACTGTTCTATCTGTTGTTTACAGCTGGCGTCTGTTCTGATGGGTCAGTGCTTGTGCCAAATAAGTTGTTAAATTTTTTTTAAAGAAAATTTTTAAAATATACCTTTTAATGTTTATTTTTGAGGAAGAGAGACAGAGTATGAATGGGGGTGGGGCAGAGAGAGAGGGAGACACAGAATCTGAAGCAGGCTCCAGGCTCTGAGCTGTCAGCACAGAGCCCAAAGCGGGGCTCGAACTCGTAAACCATGAGATCATGACCTGAGCCAGAGTTGGATGCTCAACCGACTGAGCCACCCAGGCGCCCCAGTTGTTAAATATTTTAAATAGCACAACTGCTTACATGTACTAATGTAACAGCCTCTGAAAGGACTCCTACCTATATAGCCTCTCTCTTTCACTTTGTTGCTGCCGTATTTAAAAACATTTTTAGGGGCGCCTGGGTGGCGCAGTCGGTTAGGCGTCCGACTTCAGCCAGGTCACGATCTCGCGGTCCGGGAGTTCGAGCCCCGCGTCGGGCTCTGGGCTGATGGCTCAGAGCCTGGAGCCTGTTTCGGATTCTGTGTCTCCCTCTCTCTCTGCCCCTCCCCCATTCATACACTGTCTCTCTCTGTCCCAAAAACAAATAAAACGTTGAAAAAAAATTTTTTTTAAACATTTTTATTAAAGTATAATATACATAACAAAAAGAGTACATACTGTCTCAAGAGATTAAAATTAAAAGTAGAGCTACCATATAATCCAGCAATTCTATTTCTGGGTATTTATCTGAAGGAAAAGAAAACAGTAACTCAAAAAGATATGTGCACCTCATGTTCATTGCAGCATTATTTACTTAAGTGTCCATCAATGGATGGATGGATGAAGAAAATGTGGCTTGTACACACACACACACACACACACACACACACACACACACACACACACACACTGGAGTATTATTCAACCATAAAAAGAAGGAAATTTTGCCATTTGCAACTACATAGATGGACCTGGAGGGCATTTTGTTAAGTGAAATAAGCCAGACAAAAACAAATACTGTATGATTTTACTTACATGTGGAATCTAAAAACTGAACTCATAGATAAGGAGAACAGATTGATGGTTGCCACAGGTGGAGCTGGGCAAAATGGATAAAGGGTAACAAAAGGTACAAACTTTCAGTTACAAAATAAATAAGTTCCGGGATGTAATGTACATCATGGTGACTATAGTTAATAATATTTTTGGTATATTTAAAAGTTGTTAAAAGAATAGATCCTAAAAATTTTCATTGCGAATTTGTAACTATGTATTTTTTTAAATGCTCATTTATTTTTGAGAGAGAGAGGGCAAGCGAGGGAGGGGCAGAGAGAGAGGTGGGGACGGGACTGATGATCCAAAGCAGGCTCTGCATTTACAGCAGCAAGCCCAATGTGGGGCTCAAACTCATGAACCTCAAGACCATGACCTGAGAAGAAGTTGGACACTCAACTGACTGAGTCCCCCAGGCACCCTGTAACTATGTGTTGTGATGGATGTTAACTAGACTTATTATGTTGACCATTTCACAATATACAAATGTTGAATCATCATGTTAT